TCTAGCTATTCTTAAGGTTAAGTTTCAGTGTAGTTGTAAACTGTCCCAAGATGTAGAGAAAAGTTTTAAATGAAATAAATAAACAAATAGTTCTCCAACTTGTTTCTGTAAAAGCATATCCTGTTTTTTTTACATAACATACAAAGTTGCTTACAAATACTATTTAAACCAACAAGCACCATTGGTAGAAAATCACAATGTAAGAAAGCAATAATAATACCAAAAGCAATAAAATGATGTAGCTATAACAATAATCAGCAATGTAATAAACAAAATAAAACCAGTAAAACAGTTTTTGCCTGTATCAAAACCCTTTCAGAAAAGCCAGGTTTTCAACTGGTGTACAGTCAGGTCTCTGGGGAGGGTATTCCATGGTGTAAATTCTTTAGCACATTATTGAAAATATATAAGGACAAGTCTCACCGCAGAATAATCAGCATGGCTTCTAAAAAGGGTATGCCCTGTTGCACTCCTCTTTCAGAGTTCTTTGAGTGGGTCAACAAGCATGTGGATAGGAATGTACCAGTAGGCAAAGTGACTTGGGAGTTTCAAAACGCTTCTGACAAAGCTTCTGGCACTCAGCAGGTAAAAAGATAGGCCCTCTTAGAGATAGATAAGTAGTTAACAGGAAGAGCACAGAGTCAGAATAAATAGCAAATTGTCATAATGTAGGGATGTAAGAAATGGGAAAAGGGATTGCAAATGACTTCCAAAGGTGCTTCTCAAAATGGGTGAATGAGAACTAGAGGATACAATATAAGCAAGTAGGCACACCCACTGCCTGTGGTGAGACTGTAGTGCCCCAACCCCCATGTATGCAATAAGTAAATGTATTAAAAATATGAGAAGTGACCAGGAATTCTGGTGTAAAGCCAAAGAACTGTCACTCCAGTACTTTCTTATGTCCATGGGAAATTAACACTGCCATACAGTAAATATAATAACGATCCTCATACACTTTCTGGAAAAATACCTAAAATAAATAGCCTAAAGTATTACTGCTTAAGTTCTTACCACACAGAAATCAATAGAAAATTTGGCTTCACTCATGACAGAATTGTCTATTCGGCACATCATATAGCTTTGCTATATTCAATTTAGTTTAAATCATTTTCAGTGAAGATGCACTAGAGACTTGGTACTTTCTTTGGCATTATATCAAGGCTTGACCTGATTTATCAGCTATGCAAGGCTCAATAACCATTAAGCATAACATCAGGGCAGATATTAACTGCTAAGCTGGATGTATCACACTCTCTGGAATCTTAGTTTCTTCCTTAGATAAATAGTTGAAAATGCTGGTATAAAACATGTACAAAATGTTTAATACACACCCTTCTGTATACAACATGATCGTGTGTCCTTTTAAGTGCTTGTATTTACATTTGTTTTAATTTCAACCAAGAGTTTCAAGGGTTATCATGCTCCTTTAGTGGGGGGACAGTCATAAAATGAATAATCATATAAACTATAAATAAGGTATCAAAAATAAGGCTGGCAGATCATTACTGTAATTTTCAAGTTTCCAGTTCTGCAAAAGAGGTCCATGCATCCACAAAAGATTGTTTTTTCGCAGCACACTGCCAACTCATCTTTTCTTAACCACTTCTATCAGAAAAACCTTAATATTGCATCAGTGTAAAATGAAGAGTAACAATATCAGTAACAAAGAACAAAATCCTATGCATTTCTTACAGTTCTTGATCTGCAAATAAAGCAATGATGACAAAAAACTCTTAGAAGAGCAAATAACCATGAAAATGGCAGGAACGTCCAGTAAAAACGTTGCACAAATTACTGACTTGGGTTTGTCAGAGTTAATGGAAGTGGTATAAGCTTACAGCTGAACCATGTGTGCATTAAACTGACTGTTGGGTCTATGCCTTTAGGCTCAAGAAGTTGCATGGAAGGCAGAAAAGAACCCCAATAGCACCTGCCACATCCATTACATTCACCATAGATCTAGCATGACTGAATAGCTACAAGACTAAGCTGGGGATTAGGAAGGCCTTAGAATTTAGACAAGGTTACTTAAAGGCCATTCTAACTGGGGAATGCTGGGAGTTGTAGAACACTTTTCTGTCTAATAATGCACAGGATTGCTTTTCAAGTATTTTATCCACTGTTTGTTGATAGAAGCAGTTCCATCAGCTGACTCAAGGAGGGTAAATTTTCCCTCCCTCCCTTCCTCCCATACCCCCAAACTCTGTTGCAGATTGGGAAACTGTCCAGAACAGATTTTTGGTGGAATGGAGGACTGTGGTGTGGAAGAGACACTAGATTTAATTCTATGTAATCTTAGGCAAGCCAGTATCTCTGTGTGTCAGTTCAGCTCCATACCTGTCATATAACTGATAGTGACCTTTGTTGCAAAGTTTTTGAACTGAAAAATAAGTGAAATATCTGAAATGCTCAGAAATTGCTGTGTAGATGCTTGAAATTCTGTGTGTGACTATTACCTTCCTGCTCTGGTTCTTCTTTTCTCATTTTTTCCACACCTATAAATCCTCCTATATAGATATAGATATATAGTATGGACATCTGGCTACATTGTTTTAAATCAGAAATTTCTCACCAAACATGCAAGACTGCATGGTTGCTAAACTACCTCTTACATTCCTAGGCTATTTCACAAGGTTTTTTTCCTGCAACTTCTCCATTTTGGGAAAATAAATTCCTCATCTTTTTAAAATTAGTGCTGGGACAAGGGAAGGGCTTAGAAATTGCCTGAATACTAAACAGACTAGGGTGTGCTCAACCTAATTGGTGGCAGCCTTTATAAAGAAGGGAATCCCTCCCACACACACACAGTCCATAACAGCTGCTTTATTATAATAAGTCAGATTAGTGGTCCACCTCAGTGCACACTGAGGTTCTGCTGGTTTTCAGACAAGGATCTTCCAAATGGCAATAGTTTTCCAAAGCCTCAGATAGAAAGAGTTTTCTCCCATCAGCAGCTTCCAGATCTTTTTTACTGGAGATGCTGGGGTGAACCTCCTTGCCCTTTCCACTCTGGGGATTCCCCAGAAAGCATCTCCTGCAGATGAGAAACTTGCTTCAGTGGGGTAGGCTGTGTCACAGAGGCTGTGGCAATTATCAAAAATTAGAAAGGTTTTAGTAAGGTCTCTTGGGAGGAAGAATGTCACATTTTGCTGAACCCTGCCCCAGTTCATTTCCCCGGACTAAAGTCTTTGTGCAAAAATATATAATATGAAAAGCCAGTGGACAAAACTTGCATTGTTCACATGTCTTTAACAAGTATGTTAATATTCTTTGAATGCAGACAACCAGAAGGTGGCATCTGTTCCCCAGAACACAGCCATAGAAATGATGCAAAAAGGGAACTCATATATAGGGCTTGTGTCATGGAAGCAGCCATCACTCAATGTCATGAATGTAGGAAACAGCACCCAGGCAGTATCATCAGCTCAGTTAGCACAGCATTCTTAAATATACCAATTCATCAGCAGCAATGAAAACTGAGGTAGGAGGCAATGAAATTCCTCTCATCTTACCTTAGACCAGCTGAAGTCTATTGCAGTTGGGGGATTCTTTCACCCTCCATAATAAGCATCTGGATAGTGCAAAGTTAATCTATCAAGTCAGATCTATTACTACTACTTTTTGTAGGAAATGAACAGCATTTTGGCTGCTCTGTAAGTTCATTTCCAGCTGTCACTGTATCTTTTGGGTAATACTGATTTTAGCACAGTTAACATTGCACTAACATATAAAAACTCATAACAAAGAATTGTCCTGAACACTTAGATCTGAGTTTAAAGTGAATATGGGCTCTATACCTCCACTGTTGTAGAAAAAAATTATCTTAAATTATATAAATTACTTCTCTGTAAACATTTTTGACTTTTTAATGTCATACATACAAGACCAGGGCTAGACAAGCTTTTTTTTGGACCCCTAGAGCATATTTGGCAATTTGAGGAAATGTCCTGGGCAGCACAACAGAATGGTTGTCATGGGAGAGGCACGGCTGATCGCAATGGAGAAAGTGCAAGGGTCTGAAGGCCAACACACTAAGCATCTTTTTTGAACTCTCAGTTTTCAGGGGCAACAGAAACCTCAGTTTTAAAGAGGCCAAACTCTTTTTCTTTTATTCCCTACCCTCACAGTCCCACCAGAGAATTCATTTCCTCATCTCTTCTTCTTTCTCACTTTGGATCACCACCTATACTCCCACCTTCCTGCCCTCTTTCTTTCACCTGCTCAGCGCTCTTAGTCTGTCTCTCTCTCAGAAGCACAAACACCCCTTGTATCCAGCATGCATGTATGTATTCCCACCTGCAGCCACATACCTTCCTTACCTTGCTCACTGCAGGCACATGAAAAGTCACACGTGTTCTTTTTCAGGATCCTCCACAATCCCTTCAGAACTCCATTTTTCTCTTTATCCCTTTCCCCATCTATTCAGACATGCAAGAACAAAATCCTCCTCAATCTGCCCCCCAGCTGCTCTGATAGGGTTATCCCAGTCCCCACTGACTTCCTCCAGCTCTCTCCCCTCTCCACTGGCTTTCTGCCACCTTCCTAGCCCCCATCCACTCTCCCAAGCCCCAGCTGCTCACTTTAGTCCCCCCACCCCAGCTGACCAAACAATAGGTGGCAGACATCCTTTGTTCCCTCTTCCCCTACCTACAGTTACTTGGTAACTGGGTACACTGCAGACGAAAACATATGCACCTTCTCACATCCTGTATTCCTCAAGAATATCTGTGAGCCCCAGTCTTACCCATAAGCATTAATGGGAAATGAAGATGACAGGGGCCAGAGATCTTTGTTTTATTTAGAAGACTTTCCAGATGCCAGTAAGAAAAGTCTTTTTTAAGTTGGAAAGCTGGACAACTCGCTGGGTGCTAGGACAGGTGCCACAGGTCCACTACTGCCTTTGTGGGCCACACTGTCTGCTCCTGCTCTAGACAATGAAATGGCTCTATAAATGATACTCATTTAAGCAAGAAAAATATCTTGGTTATTCTACTTACCATTCCATGATTCAGCCAAGGTGGTATAAAATTATCAAGGATTTTTGGGTAAACTAGTTCTCTGTCATAGATATAGATGCTCCAAAACATTGTTACAACAAACTAGATAAAGAAGGAAACAGAAACACAGATGTCTATTTTAGGAATTTTACATTTAAATGGTAAAATGCATAACTGTTATTCATCAAGAGTTTTCCTTTCCATGCAGGGTATAGTTTAGAGTTTGGATGACTCTTCTCAATGATATACTGCCTGATTATTCTTCCAACAGTCTGGGAGTCACAGAATTTTGCCCCACAAATTGCTCTTGGCCTAAGCACATTTGGCACATAGCAATTTGTGCTACATTGTCTAATGCCTAACAAATCAGCTGCCTGGGTTCATGGTAAGCCAGGCACCCACAGACACTTGGCATAATGTGACAATCACCACAGGTAAATGGGTAAATGGTGGGTTGCTATGTCATGTGTTCCAGTAAAATGTGTAATAGGTTATGGCTTAAAATAGATATATGTAGGCAGTCATCACTATAGAGAAACATGAAGTAAAAGGGGAGAGAGGAAAGCCTCCAAAGAATGGCCCATGCCCATCCAGAAAGTGAAACTATTCTAGCATTTCCCTGCTGCAAAGAGAAGGCACTGATGAGTTTGGGCAGGGAGGGCCCAGAGATATTTGTGGTTTTTCCACTTAAACCGGGTCCAGTGCCCCATTTCCTATGAATGTGGAAGTCCAACTATACATGATCTGACTTACATACAAATTCTTAAAGATGAATTCCTGTTTCCTCAGGACCAGAACTTGTTCATAACCTTCCTGTACAGAATCTAAAGTTAGTAAACTTCAGCTTCCACTAACTGCCAAAGGACCAGGTTAACTTAGCATTTCCATTCAGCTGAATTTATGAATATTCACTGCCACAATCCTGTACCCTGCACAGAAGGAGCAAGGTGGGGGAGTGGTGCCCGCCTCTGCTCCGCAGTGATCCCTCTATGCTAGATGTATCATATCCATGCTGAACTCATTGTCTCTTAGCAGACTTAGTCCTCTAAGGCTTAGAGTCTAAGCTGAGGTCTCTCTGTGCATCCCTGAAGAGTACCAACAGCTGAGTCTTACTTAAACCCTCACATGAAGCTTTGGTCCTTTTTGTAGCAGGTGCAACCACCCACCACTGGAGGTGTGAACTTCAAAGAAGCCTCGTGAAAGGCATTGCAATTGGCCTGCTAAAATGCAGTACACATGACTGCAACACACTAAGTGTAAAGGTGCTACAAGGCAGGAGGGGGAAACTATGCTGCTTTCCTCTAATAGGTGCCTGAACCCTGCTGCCTCATGAGGGTGTAAGAAGGAAGTCTAAGTACTCTGAACATCTCCCAATCCTATAATGGATTGCAAGGTAAAGCACACATCTTAAAAGTTTAATTCAGCCACTTTGTGTGTATAGATTATGGGTTTCCTTTAAGGTAAGGGTCACCTACTGCTTTCCTAACACAGGATTCTGGTTTTATTCAATTAATTATTCTCAATACATATGTGATTATTATTGAAGTTTCTTCCTTTCATCCTCTGGAATTTATGTGCATAATATGCTGATGGTGAGATCCACCACTTTGCAAAGGGGTATGTTTCAAAGTAGAAGGGTTAATAAGTGTTGCACTGATCCTAAAGAAGCACAGTTCTATTACACTGCACATAATTACAGAGGCAGCAGGAATTGTTACCAAGGAATAGCTTCCATTATGCTAAAGTCAAATGCTTGCCAACTGATTTACTTTGTTAAGAAAAGAATGAATTCAATAGAACAGAGATAATCTGAATCTATAAGATAATAAGAAAAAGAAAAATGACTTGGCTCAGAGCAAGAGGGAGGGTAGCTTTATTAAAGGGGAAAGAGGCTATCCAGGGAACACTGGAGCTTGCTAATGCTTGAAATAATTTTTACCTTTAACAAAGGACAATCAACATGTAGTTTACAAAAGATCAAATGTGCCATGCACATGCATATTTCCTGGTGATGCCAACAACCCCTTTTGCATCTGAATCTTATATAGATTTACCATAAAATAATCCTTATTGAGTTTTGTGTACTTTACATTGGAGGGACTGCAGCGCAACAGGGTGCATGCCTTGTATGTGGAAAGTCACAGGCCTAATTGGGCCTAAGGCCCTAGGAAGCCATCATCAATGAGATTCAAGTCTAATCAGTAGACTGGGGGGGGGGGGTTACTGAATGTCCTTCAGCCCATCCATCACATTCAGTTTAAGAAAAGCTTTCAGATGGCACTTTTCAGTGTTGGGTAAGACCAAGGAAGCTGGGTCAAAAATACCAGTATATTATTGTTGGATGCTCTTATTACTAGTGACTAATCATTAGGAATAAGATTCAACTGTTTGCAATGGTGTGGGGGGGGACTGCAAAGCAGCCAGAATACTACAGCATAATCATTACTCAGGGGAAACAGCCCCTAGATGCAGGTGGAAGGTCTCTACATAAAGCCCGGTGGTTTTATTGGGATCCCAGGCAGGGCAACCTTTGGCCCCCAGGTCTGAGGTCCTGCATTATTCAACAGATGGATAATTTGATATAGAATATATGAGGCATTCTCTATGCCTCCCATGTTCCAAGTGCTTCCAAATACACACAGGATTGCAGCCTTAGTTTGGAAAGAGTAATTTGGAAGCTGTGTGAGTGTGTAATAAATAACTTGGAATTGACATTCACTTGAACGTGAAAACCAGCAACAAATGTTTCCTATCTGAAAGCCATTCTAGACAATGTCATATTTTTGTTAAGTTTATACACATGAGGAATTTTGAGTCCAAAGTTCAAAAGTGTTGCTTTTGAGACCAGGACTCCTTTGAGCCTGAAGGATTTAGATCATCTATACTAGTTAGCTGTTTTTGCAACAGATATTCAGACTGTAGAGCCTTAGTTTTCAGTATACTTCTCCATCTGTTAGGTTGACTATAACTTTAGCTTTGAGCCAAGTTATAGATCAGATGCAAGACACTGCAAATAGCTGCAAGCAGTATCTCTTTCTTCTCCTGATATTAACATTGGCTCTACATATATATTTCTCTTTCCTTTGGATGATGTTGGCAATCAACTGAACAAAAAGCTGGAGAACAGAGAAAATGATTCAAGTTTCATGTCTTTCCAAGATATGTCCAATTGAAAGTGGTTGGGATGAGTTTGTTAAATACAACTGGCATATGAAATGTGCACATTAAGAAAGTAACTTCCAGTGCTGTATTTCAAAAAGTAGGTCTGCTATTAATGGATGATACTGAGTTGAGCTGAATGATCACAGAGTGAATCCAACAGAGCTGGCAAGCAAATGAAGTATCTTGTGAAGCAAAGAAAACTTGCTGACTTTGCCAGTGAGGTAAAAGTGACAAAAGATAGAAAGTTCCATCTGTCTCCGAACCAAAGTCAGCCAATGAATGGAAATGGTTCAGCAAAATTGGCTGCAACCATCTGGTGATCCAGGTGGCAAGAACTGTTTAACAAAGGCCCAAGCACAGGTAGGCCTGGGGTATAGAAAGTGTGCCCAAGAGAACCATTCAAATTTTAGCCAATTTCCACTCCAGAAAATTCTGTCTTTATCCCTGTGGTTGCCACACACTTTACTTTTCTTTTAAAAATAAATACACATAGTATTTCAGATCCATGTTCATTTTGGGTTTTATCTTGATAGGATATTAGTGTGTTATAAAAAAATGAGATGTACATAAAATTGAAGAGACCGAATATGGCACACTCACACTTTTCTAAAAAAAAAAAAAAAAAAAAAAAGGCATTCAGAGTAACAGATAAAGTTCTAGCATCTAACTGATACAGTCACAGTGAAGCAAATTGGGAGTCAAAGCAGTCCCTGACCCATGCAACCATTGAACTCAGTAAAACTGCCAGTAAAAAAACAACACACACGCACAAGTTGCATGAGAACTTTGCTTGGGGCCCTCTCTCATAGCTCTTAAGTGGTCCCTACAGACTTATTTTAAATTTTGCCAAAGTTTTTATTGATTTTATTGCTCCTGCCCTATATATGATTTTAGTTGGTAAATTCAGTCTTTTTTGAATTGTTTTGTTTTTAACATATTTACTATAAGCTGCCTTATGAGCTCTTGCCTTTACTAGAAGCATGTTATTGATGTATTGCTGTTTTTCACATTGGACATCCATCAGATTCATGGCTTGATTTGTATTGCATATTGCAGCAAAGTTCTTTTTCATAAGACAATGACTTATATAAACATGCCCAATCACTTGCTGAAATGTGTGAAAGCGTAGCCTTCTGAATGTGCATAAGGCATGAGGTTATAACATTACTGCAGAGTCATGCAAAATTAAAATGCAAAATTTAAATTTGAATTACTGCATCTCTTCTAAACACATAATTCAAAGACAGCTAAATATTATATTTAGATCTATAATCGGGAGCCACCTTTACTACTCACACAGACCACAAATGGTTCATTCAGTTTCTAATCAAGGCTTGGGAAAGATTTGTATTGGCACAACCAACTACCTTGGAATATCCAATCAAATTTCATAGCAGCATGGACAATATTATGAATAATACCCACAAAAGCATTTTTTTCTTCCATTGTGAGAAAATCTTTCCATTTGCCTGTTCCACTTTAAAGCTTTGAAAAGCAATATGACAAACTGTCATCTTACTAAGAATTTAGAATTAGGAACAACCAGACATTTAAGAAGCAGAAGTCATTTTGGTAACAATGCCACAAATTAAAGCAAAAATGAATGAGTAAAAAAGAACAATTATAATCATCCTTTCTGAACTACCTGGAATATAGGTTTAGTTAAATGCCCATGACTTCCCAGCCCTTTCATTCTTGTGGGGGTGGGGAGGAAACCTGTTTGATTAGAAGTCAATTAATTCCAGGATTAATGGAGTTTGCAGCTATTCTAGATTGAACCATAAGTAGGTAGTGTTTTTAAAAGCCTGCTCTTAACAGAAAGCAGGACTCTTCTTTGCAAGCATGGGAAAAAGCTGTAGATTACAGAACATTCCAAAACCAATGAGGTGAATGAAAAGTAACTCAGGCAAGATTGTTAATAATATACATGTGATCATTATATATTTATTCCTCAAATCACTCCTGTCAGCTGGGTTTGCACTTCATGAAAAGCCACACAAACCCCTGGACAGAAGTTATATATGTCATGACCCCTTGCAGGTTAGGTAACCCATAATGGGGTGTTCTGCAAGATCAGCCTAAACTCACTTGTTACTAATGCAAATGTTTCTGCTTTAACCAAGACAATTCAAAGAGGAACATACTAAGGAATTTTGACTTTTTTAAAAAGCCTGAACAGAAAGAAAAGAATTACAGGTTTTAAAAGTGCTTCCCTCCTGTTTAGGCTGTAATAGTTTTAATCAGCCTTCCCTAAGTGACTGAAGAAGATGCAAGTGGCACTTTAAGACATCTGCAGAGCTCCCAAATTGGGGAAGGCTGGTTTAAATGATCATGTATTGGATTATAAGTGTGATTGATTGAAGGTTTGTGTTGTTCCCCCCCCCCCACATTCGTGTTTCAGCTCATACTAATACCTTTCCTTACTGACCAGAAGAAATAAAATACAGCTGAACTAAAAGAGCAGACACAGAGAAAAGGGTTTTAAAGAAAAAAAAAATTGATCCCGGTAACCACCAAATTCTATTATCCATTGTTAATAAACTACCAGCCCATTGGAAGTTTCTGTGTTTTGTTTGAAATCAAAGTGGTAGCTACTGTTGCATGTTTTGTTCTATTTTAAGAAAGTATGGATTTTTTTCAAATTTATACAATACAGTTTTTTAAGAATGGAAGTAACAGATAAATGTATAGTTTGATATCCAAAAGAAAAGCATGCTGGTTTGAAGAATTCTCAGAGCTTAAATTATTGTTACCAATATTTCTACTTTGGAATTCCCTCTTGCTTCTGTTGCCTGCAACAGAGAAAAGTCCCTCTGGAAATTGCCATTATGCACACTCAGGCCAATCCAAATTAAAACAATTATTTCCACAGAGAGGACCCTGGTTCAGTGAAAAGAAAAGTGAGGGAATTGTTTACTTTGTGTGCAGATACACTGCTAGATTACAAATCGTCTATAAGACCTGAGATGAATGAAATATACTTCCTTAGCTGAAACACAGAAGTGTTAAACAGAGTCTGCCAAAATCATTTAGTAATTTTCTATGGGTGGGATTTATTACTGAGTTTCTGTGTCTCTCTTCAGGGAACTAGATAATCTTTACCATCCTTATGTTTCCATTCTGCTAAAATCTGCTATTGATTAGCTGCTTCTTCTCGTTCTCTATCCCCACAGACTGTACTAATTCTTCTATCAGCATGTAATACATTTTAAGAAATATTTTAAATGCATAAATGTTTAGTGGATGAGTGTTTGTTTAGCTGTGTCTTTGCTTCCCATACAATCCATATGGGAGTTTGGGGGTTCTGAAAGCACACCCGTTACCTGAGGCAGCAGGCAATCTTTTATGCGCCTCCGAAGGTTCTCTATGCACCAGGCTGCCAGAGGGGGAGGGGAGGAGACAGTGGACCAGTTGACCCAGGTGCTTCACTGTCCAAGGGTTAACTGGTGATGGGAAACTGACAGTTCTCATGGGTTATCCTTAAAAAGAAATTAAACAGGAGAGGCCACATAGAGGACACCTTCAAATACAGGACATTCCTGAAAGTTCTTCAAATAGAGACCTGTATCGATAAACGAATTGCTGATGGGAATAAATTATACCTGTCTCAAAAAACTCTGCTGGATCTTAATTCAGTTCTGAACCCAACTCCAAATGTTGGTGCAAGTCTTTAAAGCCTTATATGGTTATGGCTGAGATTACCTTAGGAAATGGCTTTTCCCAAAGGAAGCAACATAAAATGAGATAATCTTAGTGGACGCTATTCCAAAACAAGTTGTTAGCGAAAGTCTTTGAGAGATTACACTGAAATTGATAACCTGACATGTTAGCAGATTTTTATGCTGTTTTGCTACAATGCTTTCTGTGACAAATGTGTGCTCTTAAATTGATTTAAGGTTATTTTACATTGATTTAATTGTTTTTAATTGTTGATTTTATATTATGTTGTTTGCTGGCCTAAGTACTCTCTGGAGGCATGTTTAATGGAACATAAACAGCACACACAGAGAAATTATGTGTTTATATTGGAAATGGCAATCCCACTTTCTAGACAGACACACACACAAACATACACAGAGTACTCAAGTTCTACAATAAAAAAGCAATTATATTACAAATATAAAGTACTTGTAAATGTAATAAATAAATGGCACACTCTTCCAGAATATGTAAATTGCACAGAAAAATAGTACATGGTTAGGAACATTTCTTAAATAACCATTAAGCCCATTTTGTTATGTCCAACAAAATCTTATCTTAATAGACTGAAAACAATGGAGGGATTATATGTGACAAACTGGAGGGAAATTAATTACTTAGCATAATACTTACAACTCCAATAGGAAAAGCTAAGACAGCCATCATCCAGTCACGGAGGGAAATGAGTTTTCGTAGCTGTCTTTCTTGTTCTTGGCTGTCATTTCCTTTAGTCAGAAGGCTGGAAAGATCAGTCAATACACAGATCCCAAAAAAGACTGCTTGAATAACCTGCATTAAAAATATAAATATCTTGAACACTATATGGTACATATATCCCAATAGCTTCACTGTGATGGTGGAGAAGTTTCCATTCTGGCTAGGGATTAAAATAGCAAAAGCCCAACAGTTATACCTATGTGTGCCATCCTTCCCATAAATGAAGGTCATTCCAGGACTATCACTGGATCTGACGGAGCTATATCCCCCTTATCCCTCAACAGGATCTGGATTAGGCCCCCAGCCTAGGTAAGTCTGAAACTCATGTAGCTGTTTTCTCTCCCACTGATTCCATTGGGAGGGAACATTACTGACAGAGAAAGATACCAGCGAAAATCCTCCCAAAAAACTGCATCCAACTTTCAGTATGACTGAACTGAGCCGGTAGGCCTTGAGAACTGGTGGAGCACAAGAACTCTACTTAGAAGTGTTCTGTTGGTTACAGTAAGTCACTTTCCAAGGTGTACATTAAAAAATGCCAGATAGGTAAGGAACCTCACCACGTGGGAAGCAGAGTAAGGAGGGGGGGCCACACCATAATAACATACAGCAACAATCAGGTAAACCAGGAAAGACACTCAGATGGAAATGAGGACTCAGAAAGAAATGGTGACAAAGGAATTTAGGAGCATGATGAAGGCAGAGTTAAGAGGAGGAAGTAAACAGGGAATGTATATTAAAAATCAAGGTCAGGATAAAGGGCAGATAATAATACCTGTTCATTTTGGTGTGCTTGTTGTTAGTGTCTCAAGGATATCAGAACCGGTGAACTGGAAGCAAGGAGGGCAGTGGGGGTCAGATGGACTTAGCAGTTTTGAAAGATCAGGTGAAACGTTTTGGAATCTTATGTCCAGTGATCCCTGATGAATTGATAGTTGCAGTCGCACATTCTGGCCATTTTCAGAGCTGGCGCTACAGTGCAGTACAGAGCTGACTAGCAGCTTCTTTGTCTAGTAAGTTTCTATAACATCTTTTCCAGTAAGACACCTGCAAAAGTTTCTGATTTAAGACTCCCAATTGCCTCACAGGGCACTTTTTAACCAGAAACCAGTAAGACACTATCCGTATTCATAGCTAGGTGAAAAATAATTAAACAGGATTAAGTTGGCAGCCATCCTGCATCAATGGAACAAGACAGATTGCCTACTGAACCAGCTCAACCATTTTACCCAGAATTAGTAAATGAAATTGTCTGGAACTATTCTAGACGAATAGGCTAACTCTGAATTTGCTAAGATCTGACTCATTGTTTTAGGAGCTCCCCATCCTGCATTTTGCTGTCAAATTAAATGGGTAAACTTAATCCTTGCATACAAACACATCTTTCAATCAGATTTTCTCTAGTGTTATCTGTTTAAATTTAGATCTGTATGTGTGACGTAGTGGATTTGAGAAATGAAAGCATCACATCAAATCCCGCACTACAGCAGCCAATGAGATGAGATGTCCACAGAAACTCAAAAGCAGGAACTGAGTTCAATAGTGCCCTTCCTCTCATATTTCCCCAAGAACTGGCACTTTGCCTCTGATAATCAAGGTAATATATTGCCAATATGACTAATATATGTGATTGATAGCGTTATCATCCATGAATTTGTCTAATCTCCTTGTGAAGCCATCCAAATTTTGTTGTTGTTTAGTTGCAAAGTCATGCCCAACTCTTCGCGACCCCAAATTATGGCCATCACTATATTCTGGTATAGCAAATTGCACTGATGAATTTCCTTTTATCTGCTTTTAATTTCCCAACATTTCCTAATATTAATTACACTTCTATCAGGTCTTGCCATACTTGCCTTTGTTATAAGTGAAGAAACCCCAAATGCTGCCATCTTTCCTCACAGAGCATTGCTCTAACCCCCTTGAATAAGCTGGCTTCCCTTTTCTGCAACTTTTCTACCTCTAGAAGACAGACAGGCAAGTTGCAGGAAACTAAAAAAAACACTATGCTGTAACCAGGAATATAGAGGCCATGGGGGGAATGTGAAAAATGCAAAAGGTAGGTCCTTTACATATTAACTTGAGGGTGACTGTATTACCAAAAATGTATGCATTTAAATATCACATTAAATGGTCAGCCATATTACACCCAACTGGGAATGGAGGGCCAAGACTGCTAAGATGATGAGGCAAAGTCCTAAATGTACTTCTGACAGGTATATCACTCATCTGCATACAATTAAAAGGGATATGGTTTAATCCTCATAAAACCCTGTAAGAGAGTTTAAATACTCTAATCAGAAATGTATATCTCAGGAAGTGATACTAAAAATGGTGTCATGGATAAGAAAATTTAGATACAGCCTCAGGAATACCTTTCAACAGTGAATAAAATTTATAAGCGCATGGAACACTCCAAATGCAGTGGTGGAAAACTTTATGACATCCTGTTCAATGTTGCTTGGACAAAACACTCTAGAATGTCCACTGGGGGACAATGCTACTGGCAACTTCAGGAGATATGACTTAATAAACTTTAAAAATTGTATTGAGGTTTTTGTCAAGCTATAAGGGACGAAGATTATTCCAAAATCTCTCTAGATATATCATTATAGATATACACCTGGTCCCCAGGTTAAGAACTAATTTCATTCCTTGAGAGAAGTAATAATAATTGTGTAATTTCCTGTACTTAGTCCTATATGCAATTTTGTGTAAGGTGACTTGGTTTCTTTTTCATGTTACTTTTTCTTTGTTTTCCTTCTATAAAAATAAAGAATAAATTCCATTCCTGAAAATATCTTTAAGTTGATCTTATATGTAAGTCAAACACTTCCATATACACTAAAACATCTTGAACACAATACAGTATTTTAATAATGATAATGCAGTAATAACAAAGTAACAAGTACTGAAGAGAAAGTGAGAGAATCTGTATGCATGTGTGTAGGTATACAGTACCATTCTTTTAAAAGTTTAGACAGATTTTTAAAAAGTAAAATTATTATTAAAGGTTAACACTTCATGAATGAACATGAAGCCTAACATTAACTGGATGATGATGGAGATGGGACTCCTTTAAAATTGTCCTAATTGTCACTAACTCCATGTGATTCACAACACATGCTCATGAAAACCTACTATAGATCTGCTGGCACTGTGGAACTAGTTCTGGCTTCACTGGTTGCTTTTCCCCTCCTCCTTTCCCTTTCCCCCCTCCCTCCCCCCTCCCCTCGCCACCTGCCAGCACCTGCTTGCTGTTCAAGGCTGAGCTGGGTCTTCTGGGTTTTCTTGTCTGTATGTAGGGGTTGTTCTTAACTTGGATGTTTGTAACTGGGGGACTGGGTGTAAATGATATAGATATAAACACCCACCCACTCTCTACAGGAATATATTGATTATTTCCTAATTCACAACAAACCAGGCTCCATCAGAAGTTCTGTTCTAATGAAGTCACAAAGAGAGGGAACTGTGATGATATCAGTCACTTAACCCACAATTTAGTTAAGCTAAATGCTAAGGAAAACTTGGCTAATTATGTTCTCAAATGTGTATAGGCAAGTTATGCACAATTGATTAAGACCCGCATCTTTGTAGACTGTGGAAAGATAAACATAAGCCTAACGTTCCCCCAGTTTGGTGGAAACATGCTAAACAAATGAATGTTTCATTACTCCTTATTAACATATTACGAAGACTATAAATGTCCAGCATTTTTCCAGACACTTCCTCTACAATTTCAGTAGCTTAATACTTGAGTCCTACATGGTACTGGGGAATGAAGTGGTCAGTTGAATAACTTATTTGTCCTATAACCTTTTTGGAATAACCAAATTCTCTTGGCCCAAAGGTTTGTATGATATGCTTGAATTTTATGCATGGATTGTGGTGAAGAAATATCCTCATTTATGAGCAAGTTTATGTTTTATAACAGATTAGTGTAGATCGCGTCCCTTTTTGTGGTCTAGAGAAAACAGAGTTATGGTATAACAACAGTAAGCATTCATTGTAAGGAAGCTGGAGAATTTTGTTTGGCCTCTTTTTTTAAGTGAACCACATTTGCACTGTCCAGACTAATATGCAGACCAGAATACATATTATTCTGATCTACAGAATATACTCCAGAGTCTGCACATCTCAAATTTTCACTATACACTTTTTTTGCTCAAAAATTGTACAAAATGTGCACTCTAGGAGAAGTTGTGTACCTTAATGTGAAATAGTGTACATGTTTTGAATTGCGGAATAATTTGGAAATTACATTTTCCTAGGGCAGACATCTGGAGGGTCCCACCAGTTCTGCAGAAGGGAAGTAATGTTATGAGTTCAAATGAAGACAATTGGGTTACTTGAACCCCCTCCCAATTTTCAGACTATTCATCTTATCATTTCGGGGCAACCTCATGTGCTCAGAATGACAATGGACACATGGATGCCAAGGAGGCCATTAAATCCTAAACTGGGGTTCCAGAAGCAGCCTTAGAATGAAAAATGAAGTCACCTCAGACAACTGTCCTTGTGTTCCCCCAAAACACACTGGAGGTCACCTCTGGCAGTGTGGTCAGGGAGGTTGCTGGGATGCAGAGTAGGTGGTACATCAGCAGCATCTCCAATCTGACCCTGTGAACCAAAACCAGGTATAACTTCTCAAAACCTGCTTCAAAGGGAAGTGGTTTTCTGGTGACAGTGATGGAAGATTGGTGAATCATCTCTAGCCCTCCAGTCTATGCTGATGCTGCTTCATGAACCCAGGTGGGCAAAGATGGGTCAGGTAAACGCCATCCAGCTCACCCACCCAAGTCTCAGTAACAGATGCCTGATCAACCTTCTCATCTATAATTAAATCATGAGTGAGTGCAGTCTTATTGCAGACCAATCTGGCATTACGTAGCAACATTGTAAGAGATAAGGGCTCTGTGGAGCAGCTACTCAATATATGAGAGCCGAAGGAGTCAGTAGAAGGAAAACATCATATAAACATATGTAACCTATGCAATTCTGATATCCAAATCTACTCTTCCTGCCATTTCTGTTTCAGTCCCAAATGATTGAGACAGCAGTACCACCTCCAT